CACTGGCTTCACTAGAACGAACACTGCCCAGCAACTCAAACTGGAACATATCTTTGTGTCACCTCTTTGCTTAATGACATATTTCCCAAGTGCTGATTTATGAGGAACTTTAAATTCAGCTCATTTTAAACCAGGTTTATAGCACATCTTAAAATATATTTTGATCCATTGTGATAGACAGTGAAAAAACACCATGTTCAATGGGGAATGTATTCCAGTGCTATCATTTATAAATGGTCAGAATCACCTACATTACTACAATTTTCTGTTCACAGTGTGGTATTTCTTGAAAGCAAATGACTGGACATTGTTCCCTGAAATACTTGTCTTGTTGCTCAAAAACACTGGAGCATCAGCTGTCTCATACTAAATCTCTTATAAGTAGCAAACAATGTTAAAACAGGCATTTTATAAAATGTCATAGTCTAGGTTTCATTCAGTGTATTCCAGAGACACCTGGTTCTTATATTTACTTTCATTCTGTAGAATTTCTTAATATTTTTAAACCATGTTTACTGATGCTTTTCAAGAGATTAGCCAGTTAAGCAGTTATCTATGCTCTAATTTCCTCAGGAAATACAGGTTAGTTTAATCTTCTTATACTCTTCAGTGATGCTATAGAGTCTGGCTACAGTTTTAAATACCACCTGATTCTAAACAGGTTCAAGAAGTTCAGAAATTTTGCTCTAAATTTTTGAAGACTGATTTCTTGTGTATTTTGATCCTGAAGTTTCTATAAGTTGCATCCATGACATCAGGGGACACTTCCATTAAGACAAGGGGGAAAAAAAAGAAAAAAACCTTGGACTAATCCCAGGAAATAGCCTAAGTTTATTATGTGCTTAGGGACACTCTCAATAATGCTAACAGTCTTTCAGCTGCTGTGAGACCTTTATAAACCTGCAAAGTTCATGCTGTGTGTTATGTGCATTATATATATAATACACACACACACATGCTCCCTATATATTACAATTATAGGCAGTGCTTACCCTGTGCATCTCTAAATAAAGAAATAAAGAGTAATGTGTAGTACCTTTCTGAGTTTCCACCACCAAAAAAAATGTATGTTACTTAATTTCCTTTTCAATAATTTACTGGGATTTTAGCTAATGTTCTTCATTTCCCACCAGTCTGGCCAGGTCTTCTCTCTTCTTGCATTTCTGCAAAAGCTGCTCTCTTCTTCTGCATTAAGTTCAGATTTCTCCATGACTCTTAACCCAGCCTATATCTCTGGCCTTCTCTCCTTTTACACTCTTTAGCTATGGTCTGACCAAGGTTCATTTCTGAGCACTTCTTTGTTCTCCTTTGCCCATTCCCAACTTTACATTCCTTTCTGCCAATGTTCCTGCTGGTATTGTCTATACTTGGAACACCCACCCAAATAATGTACATTAAACTGCTTCCCTCTCCACTTTTAAAAACATCTAGAAGCCTTCCTATTCCATGAAGTTCTAATAGCACAATTCACTCTGTATTTGCATTGTATTATATTCCCTGATGCCTTTAAATTGAAAACTTTTGGGGGAAAGGAATTGTTATTGGTTTTGCATAGTTCACCTATCACTACAAATACTTAAGGAGCAATATAAATAGTCCAAACTAACAAATTGTGTGCAATTAAAAGCTTTTCTTCCTTACAACCCAAATTCTCCTTCTGCTTGGTCCCGCAGAGAATCACAATAGCCAGCCAGTTGCACAAACATGGCTATATCACATCACAAATTCAGACCATAGCTTCACTGAAGAGGCAAAAAGGAGGAAAGTGGCCTGGGAAAGTGAATCCCTTGTGTCAAAAAAACCACACACTACCTCCAGGCTTTTATACACATGAATTGCGAAACTCCACAGATAGCATGTATCTGATATAGTAGCAAGGACCTCTGCCATCAACTAAGGAGTAGCCTTTATGGGCCTTAAAAGAATTCTCACCCAATCTTCTTTAGCTGGAAGGATTGAACTGCCATGTGAAGATCTAAAGGCCTGAAGATTTACTCCCTTCCTGTTTCAAAATTCTAAGCCTCTCCCTCCCTCAAGCCAATGACACAAGCATTTCCCACTGACAAAACTAATATTCTAATTTCCCTAAGTGAAGCAAAGGTGTGCTGTGTCTTGAGTCTCATATACAGGAGACCTGGAAATATCTGGAGAAAGATAATCCCAGCTGCTTCTTTTAAAACTGAAAATTTATATGAGAAGCAATTTTTTCACCAGCTTTCTCCCATCCCTTCCCAATCCTGAAAGAGGGGCTGAAATGAAATCACATATTGGGTTTTTTAACAAAAATATTTAAAAACAAACAATTGTTCTTAAGTGTTAAAGGAAAACATAATTGACAAAAGAATTTCTCTCTATCTAGAAACTGAGCCCACTGGAGGGCCTAAGCATTCTACCTTGCGCTTCACCTCAGCCCCTGTCAACTAGAGGTCAGGCCTAGGCATTGGACCCAGATCTGGTTGGGCTGAACACTACAACCAGACCAGCAGCAACACCATGCTTTGAAATGCAGGTCCCACCATTTCCTCTCCTTCACTCTCTCCTTCCCAAAAAGCACCACAGCCCAGATTCCTTCCCTTTGGCCAGAGAACATCAGCCTCATACACTAGAAGGAACTGTCTGAAGAGCAATGTGGAATGTTCCCATCCTTCCTAATCAGGGAAGAAAGTGCATGTTTTAACACAATGCTCTGTGTGAATTACAAATGACATGACTGACTCCAACCTATTCATAAAGAGTGAAATTCACCCCTGAATAAAGGGCCCACCAAGACCTTTTTTATGTTACTAGATTAGAATAGGGTGCAATGCCCAAATAATGCCCAAATAACACTTGCAAATGCTTTCCCTTTATTTTCCCAACTTTGCAACTGGTGGCCCTAGGACACACAATCCAAAAACTATCATTACGAAGTCCTAGCAAAGAATCAACTACTAGAAGATTGTAAATGAACATGTGACATTGAAGTGTTATTTAGGCCCAGTCCAGCTGTCCAACAATAGCATGATGGGGGAGGAAGAACTTGGATGTAGGCCTTTGATCCTTGGCTGGCAGATAGTGCCGAGAAGGCAGAATGCTTAGCCACTTGGGAGGAGGGAGCATTTTATGTATCTTTGTATTAACCATTCTCTCCATCTCAAGATTGCTCTGGAGCCACCTCCAAGCGATCTGTGACTGCAGGGCTGGCCTTTTGGTTTATTTCTTTTATTTTTCCTCCTGGATCTTGAGTTACAAGAAAGTATACTGGACAGTTCCAGAAGTCCTTATTTAGCATGCTCTCAGTTCTTCTACAAAGTGAGATTTGACTAAGAGAACACCGAGAAAGGACTTCAGGATTTATTCAGAGGGTCCTTGACGTTTAAGGTGTGACCTGGAGGACTCACATCCACAGAAAATGTTCATTATCAAAAGGCCAGAGGTAGCTAGTTTTCTGAGACTGGTCAGAGGACAATTAAAATGTTTAAAAATTAATTAATTATCAATATCTTTTCTTTTAATGGACCATGTTAGGAGTGTTAGTGATGATAATGTAGGATTCAGGCCTGTATATTCCTAGACCCTTTCGCCTGAGATAGAATTTTGGGTATTGTTTGCCCGTTTGATTTTTGATACACTTATATACTTACTAATGTGTGTGAATGAAGAACAAAGACATTGTGTGTGGCTTCTGCCTAGCCAGATGGGTTTGTTAGTATAATAGAAACAAATAAGAACAGCTAAAGTGTTACTGGGTATGGTGGGAGTATAATATACAAGCGCACACTTAAAGACTGCTTTGACTCTATCTCAAGGCAAGGTCAAGCAACCATGGAGGCCAAGGAGGTGGGGCTGGGTGGGAGGTATAAGAAACACTAAGGCCAAAGAAATGCCTGTCCCTGACCGAAATACAACCTCACTCCTTACCCCTCACCTGGGATACAAAAGAGGTGGGATGAAGCCCCCAGACTCACGACCTCCCAAAATGAAACATGACCATAAATTATAAGAGACCAAGGGTGTGCACAACAGGTATATCTATGCCTGCTAAGGAGTGGGGCGGATGGGATACTGGGAAACAAGGCTCTGCGGCATAAGAGTTATGGATATGCTTGCTTGAAACTAACCCAAACAAACATCGCATTGCCTGCACTTCAGACTTTTGGTCTTTCTGCTTTCTGTCTGCGTGACAAAAACCAGGTGAGGAGTTGAAGGGAAAGCCCCCAACAGACCATTTCATTCAACAGTTTCTGACTCTCTGCTTTTTCAGCAATCTAGCCACACTTCAGTTTCTACCTTCTTTTAGGCTTTGTGGACATAGTTATGTATAATCAAGTCCAAGGTTCAATGCTCTGTCACTCAAGGCTGATTTACATAGTCAGCATTACAGCAAGACACCTGACTGCATCTTAATCTACTCTAAGCAGACGAGGCAGAGCAGATGTTGTTTGTTTTGTGTTCTTGTATAAATACCAAGGATTTCATTGAGGACCTGAGTACTGGCTAGTCTACTGACAAGTTGGCAGCAAATAAAGGTAACTACTGATGATATCCATACAACATTCTGACCATATATCACCACCATGCTTGCTCTTAATAGAAACAAACTGTGTTAATGAAGAATTTAGAAATATATCTCACTAAAGATCTTTAATTAGTTTAAACCTCAGGTAGTGTTTATAGTATATTTTAATCATGTTAAACAAGTTCATTTGCAGTAAAGTCATAATGCTGAATCTGTGACATCACAACAGACAAAATGATAATACTTCATGACATCATAAACACATGATTATGTCTTCACGAAAGGATTGAGTAGAGGGTGATCCTGTCCTAGGAGGGAGGAAACCTTTATGAAAAAGATATTTTCAATGATAGCAATGGGAATACAGAAAAATACTGCCCACGTGCAACCCTGCAGTCCTTTCTCTGGCAGAATGGAATTCCTATAATGAGAAAAAATTACAGGATTGAACCTAATGTTTTAATCAAATGAAATACACAAAAATACCAGAATTTCAAAAGGAATTTATTTTTGTCATTTAAAAAGTGTTGCTCCATTTTTTTTTAGTTTCAAATGATTTTACGCTACAATTTATCATTACCATAGCATCTAGTGAGAATGCTTAACATTATAGAAATAACTAATTGGTGCAACCATACAACTCCCACCACAATCACAAGTCTTAGAGGGGTTGAGTTAGTTCTATGGTTTAGTGCAGAGCTTTATGTCAGGATAGATCAGGTGAGGAAAATATCTACAAACCAAGAGCATGTATCATACCAGCAGTGTCACTAATGGAGAGGAACATGAACTGCAAAATATGCATTCAAATATCAAACACCCAAAAAATTCAGGGGTACCCAGAGGGGTTTTGGTTTATTCAATAACAGAAGTAGAGCCAACTGTGAAATTAGGAACTCACCCAGCCACAAACATAAGGTGTGGCATTGGATCTGAGATTTTGGTCCAGGGCCATTGCCTTTCAATACATGTAAATGTCCAAATTATATCAATCAGAAAGGCAATCTATCTTTCCCATGTGTCACAATAATCAAATTCCTACTTACTTCAGCAAAGACATTTCTATGGGGACTCTAAAAGGTGGCATCAAATAGTTTATGCCAGTGAAAAGAAACCCCAGCATCTCTTCAGCAATCCAAATCAAAGAAATAAAATATACCTTCACTACAAAACACTTATTTACCTTCAACTCATTTATCTTCAATTACAATAAAATGGGCTTGTAGTCAACAGAAGGAGCCAGATTCTCCACTGCCTTGAACCTTCTATAGTAAGTGCAAAGTGAGCTTGAAATACTATCAAATCAGAGTACTCCATTCACTTACACCAGTGGTAGCAATTTATAATCACAATGCACTCATTTTACACTCACGTAAATGACTACACCACATGTAAGGCAGTAGAGAATCAAACTCAGGATGTTCAGAAGAAAAACAGTAGGATTTTCCCCCCAAATGAGTAATACATTTGCACCCCCTGCTGGGGGAAAACTCATGAGCAAAACCCAAGAGGATCCTAGCCACACCTAATGCTTCTTTTCTTTCTAACCTGTACATCTAACTATCAGATTTGTATTTTTTTTCAAACATTCAGACTAAAAGATATCATTTTAAATAAATCAGTTCTAACTAAACTTGCAGTTGCCCTTAGTTTCTATTGAGGAACAGTTTATTCAGTAGATTAACACATAATGAAGAGAAACAATATCTAAAGTCCTTATTTTCTGAAATTATCACGTTCTTGGAAGGTCAACAAAACTGTATTCTTGCTCTTTACTATGGGTGCTTAAGCTATTTTAACATGCAAAGTGAGCGTAAAATTTATTAAACTAAATTTTAATACACAGTTAAAATCATGAACTTAGGAACAAGTAGCACTGATCCATTGGGCTGCACCTGCTTGACAGAGCCAATTCACTTTGACAGCTTTTGGTAAGAGGGGTCCAAAGCTTAATTCCATAAACTTTACTCTTTCCTTTCTGAGCAATAGCAAATCACTGAATGCTGATTTTTTTATTATTTTATTTTTAAAGATAATATACAGTAGCAGATGAATTGTTTGTGTTGTGGAGAATATGTTAAAAAGAAACCTATTAATGGAAGCAGATTACTGATGCGTGCAGCTCTATATTTGACTGATCCTGTTTAGTTAGTAAAAGGTATCAAAAAATCATTAAAAGAGTAGCTCTGTTATATTTTCTAACCAGAAGGTGGCATTAAATTGCCACAAATCAGTTATATACTCTCTTTAATGGGCTGTCCATAGTCACTGGTGCTTTCAACAGTGTGAGATCTGGCAATTAGACTGTCATCTGAAAAGGAGCAATAAAATTAGCTAATGACTGATGTTGGGCTGAAAAAAAATAAGATGTCTGCATCTTCCCTCAAGTCTACCTCCCTTTCATAGATGCCTCCAGCCACAGAATCATAGGACTGCATTCAAAGCAGAACCATCCCTGACAGGTGTTTGTCTAACTTGCTCTTAAAATCTCCAATGATGGAGATTCCACAACCTCCCTAGGCAATTTATTCCAGTGCTTAATCACCCCTGACAGTTAGGAAGTTTTTCCTAATGCCCAATCTAAACCACCCTTGCTGCAATTTAACCCCATGTTTGTCTTGACATTCCAGGGGCAATGTCTGAATTTACTGCACGCTCAGACCCATTCCATATCACAATTTAGAAGTTAAGTACCTGACGGTGGGTATTGCTTTCATCTTCAGCTATAGATCTGCTTTCTGCACACTTCACAAACCCTTCAGTACAGTGAGGAACCACTGGGCACCTTGTAAACTCACTGCAGCCTGCACCTGGGTCCAGCAAACAGAGCCATGTCAGCAGCAGCAGATGCTACACCACAGTATGATACACCCAAAAGAAACCAGTTATTTGGAAATGCTGAATGCCAAGCAGAGGCAGCAACTGTCGGGCATGCAGGATTACATACGTAGCAGATGTAAAGGTTTTCCAATAATGCATGTGTACATTATCTAAAGCCTCTGTGAATATTTTTAAAGGTGTTTAAGTTTTCTAGAATTTTTTAAAAATAGGACGAAATCCTGGCCACATTGAAGTCAGTGGCAAAAATCCCTGCAACTTCCAAGAGGCCAAGATTTCACCCTTAGTTTCTGCACCATTATATTGCAGTTAGATGTGGACCAGCAACATAGCGTCCAGGTGACTCAGGGTAGTTTCAGTGGGATATTTCATCCTGACATATATAGCCCTGAATTATACTGTCCAGGGTCATGCATTGGGAGGGTACAGTGTAGGAAACTTTGCATTTCTGCTGCCTGTTCTGGCGATCAAGACAGGACTTTGCAGGGCTGTCATTCTGGCACCTCTCACCAGTATTAGTTCAATTTAAAAGAGAAAGATTATTTGTGTCAGATTTTCTCTTCTAACCCCTTTTAACCAGGGAATGTATAATTTGGCCACTAATTATTGCTTCTGAATGGCTCTACAATCTGCCAAACATTCTGCAACTCAGCATTGTTAAAGATGTACATTGCACTACAGAAGATTGTTAAATAACATTTAATGCTAACTTTTAAAATTATTTAACCCCTTTTAGGTTTATAAGGAAAAGAAATATATCAGCAATGCATGTTTTCACAGTCAACACTTAAGGATGACTTTTTAAATAAAGTTTTACACAGATGAGCTTTCCTAAGAAATAGGAAATAAGTTTTGTTTTTTAATGCCAATTGGGTGGTTTAGAGAGCACACACATGGGATATCAGGATCTGGGTGTAAACCTTTGGTGCATGGGTGGCCTACGAGCTCGTCTGGTGGCTGCAATGGCAATATGGAGTAGTGGAAAGCGTAGATCCAGGAGTCAGGTACTGAGCTCAGGGCAAAGCCAAAGTCAAGGTCTAGAAGCCAAACCCATGGTCGGGGCCAGAGTCAGGATCGGGAGCAGGGCAGAGAGGCAAAGACTAGACTGGAGCGGACAGGGGTGGAAACTGGAACAAGGGCTGGAGGCAGGACCAGGGCAAACACAGCTGCAGGTGTGGTACATATTGAGCAACCACTGTACTGCTGCCATTCTAAGGCTCACGTAGCAGGCTGCAGGCTCTCTGCTCAGTCAGGAAGCACAGCCATTGGAGAAGGCTCACTGGGCCACCTAGAAACCAGGCTGAGAGCCAGTTGTGATCCTAACATTGCGCTCTGAGGTTAGCAGGCTCTGAGACCAACCAACCACCATTTCCCATCAGGCCCTGGTGACCACCTCTGGCCAACTTAGGGTTTATTTGGTTTCAGTGTGGTTGTACCCATATTGATCATATGACACTAGCAAGATAAGGTGGAGGAGGTAATTGTTTTGTTTTTTTCTTTTGGACTAACTTCTATTGGTGAATGAGACAAGCTTTCAAGCTACAGAGAGCTCTTCTTCAATATAGCTTGAAAGCTTGTCTCTTTCACCCTCAGAAGCTGGTCCAATAAAAGGTTTATTTGGTGACAGTTTGTGGCCCTGTTTTAATTCAAGTTAATTATTTGCCAATTAACTAAGACTTGATCTAAAGTAACCCACCATTTGTGTTCCAAACATCTGTAGAGCGTCTACGCTAGCATTTACTATCAGGTGAGTGTTACTAGCTGGCAATCTACCTCAAGTTCAACCAAGACCCCAAACTTTAGTTAGACACACCCTTAAAGACAAGCTACACAGGCTTCGGTATCACAGGAAGGGGCACTACAGCAGAGATCCTTTGAGGGATATGAGACTAAAAGGGAAAATGAGTTCCCTAAAAGTCTGCAAAGGGCAAAGTGCCAGGAGACTGGGCCATAGGCAGTCAGGCCTAATGTTAAGAGTAAGAGTCAGGCCTGGAGGTCAGTGTCCAAATGCCAGAGCCAAGGGTTGAGATAGAGTCAGAACCAAGAATCAGAGCTAAAGGTCAGGAATTACCTGGAGTCAGGGAAGGCAAAAGCAGGGCTGGGTGTCAGGACAGGATTGAAACAAGGCCCAGTGCAGGACAGGGGCTAGGCTAGAACAAGGCTGTGGGGGGGGCAAAAGTAGGGTTTGGTGACAGAGAACCTGTGGACATGTGCAGTGAGCAGCTGCTAAGCCTCTGCAGTTGTGGAGCTTAAGAGCAAGACACCTGACTGCCTCAGATGGTTCTGCCTTGGCTGCCTGATGACTGGGCAGGCGCAGCTGCAAGCCCTCGTTTCTGACATTAAATCAGCTGGGGAGAGAAAGGAAGAAATTAGCTTCTTTGCACAAACACTGGCTTCTCTTTTAATTTTTTTCATTACATATTTCATAAAGCTATCAGTCATATTTGTGCACTAGAGTCATTATAGGCTACTGAAGGCCATATGTTCCCTTTTTGCAGGAAAAAATCCCAGGAGAAGTGGAAATGCATGGGGAAAAAAATCTGCAAAACAGAAGCATGGTAAGTTAATGTGTAGCATGCCATCTGTGCTGCATGTTGTAACAAACTAGAGATGGGGGATGTCCAAAAAAACTGGACCAAAATCTTCCCTCAGGTATATCCACACAACCATACTACACTCAATGGTCTAGCTAGGAAATGTGGAGCAGATTCTCCGCAGACTTCAATGGAGTCACGTCAGCAAGGAATTTGGCCCCAGGTGCTTTGACAAATGTCCAAATGTGGAAAAAAGCATTGTATTTATTTGAGCAATAACTTCCTCCAGACCCCTTAATGAGTTGTCAGGTATTTTATTATTACCTTACTTAACTGATGTTTCAAAAATGCTTGTATAGAACTTTAGGGCTGCAGTCACATTTGGAAAATGTATATTCGCTGTCTGATTGTTACTGAGAGGGGAATTTGATCTAATATAAAGGCATAAAACCCACAGACACCATCTTGTGTATAATGTAAAGTATTGTGGCCTTACACATATGCCACAATGGTAATCCAGGATGTACTTACTTATGCAGAGAGCATTTCCAAGCTGCTTGACATCTCAGATTTAAACACACATGTACACTTTAACCTTCCCCTGAGTTCTTGGAAATCCACTGACTTCTTTATATAATACATGGACAAGGAGCCTGATTCACTGCTAAATTACATCGGTGTTACACCATTGTAACTCCATTGAGATCAGTGGAATTGCTATATGTTTTCCAGAACATAGGCTTATGTTGGTAAATTGTAGATACTTCGCATTTTTAAGTGGCTCAACTTTCCCTTTATCCCCATCGATGGGCAAAATGGGCCCTGGACACAGCAGAACAGTAGTTCAACTGCATGAGGAGAAAAGGAACGAATAGGATGCTGGGAGTTCATACACAGGGTGTGGATCTCCCGTGTAGAACAGACCCCATCTCGGCATTTGCTTCTTCCACGTTTCCTCAGAAGTGCGGCCAGAGTAAGCACAGCTAACTAGCTCCCCTAATCATTCCCTCCACATGAGGGTGGGTTAAATCCACATAGAAGCTACATAAATCCTAGGCTGCAATAGCAGTTGTGGAGCAGACTGAGAGAGAGGATTGCTTTCCCTTCGTCCTCTGTAGATCTTTCCCCAGGACATAGCCATTCAGCCTGGGCTGCAAAATATGATCATAAAGTGTACAATACATATATAATTATACACACACACAGTTGGTTCAGCTCCAAAAAGCCATTCTGACCTTTGAGACAAGTGTCTGCATAACTACCACCACTTTTGTTCCTTCTTCTTTAATGCTACCTGAAAAAGGAAAGTTATATGAATCAAATTACATTTGAATGTCTGGCTTTTCCTGTATCATCTCACAACCTTAATATTATTCAGAATTAGGAATGACAGTCCATGTTTATTTCATACCTTTGCAGGGGTACAAGAATGATTACAATTCTCTCTCTCTCTCTCGTCCCTTTCTGTCCAACTTGTTAGTTTCCTTCTAGATATACAACTGCATATCACAAAGACCTGGAGCAGTGTGGGCTACCTGAGTGTGGAAACATAATCATGGACTTGAGTAGTTGCAGATGAAGACAGAGGAGTTATTCCATCCTTACAGTAGGGTAAATGAGCGCATAAGTTGTCCCAATAACTATCATTGTGTACAAAAAGATCATTTTGATAGGGTGCCTTGCTTAGAGGGAAATATATAGCTAAAATATAGCAAAATTCTTCCCTTCCTGTTTTTTTAAGGAACACCATTATAAAATAAAGTTGATTTTTTTGTAATTTTGTTACCCAAAGAAGAGTAGAAAATGGCTCCAGTGATGTGCATATACAATTATGGAAACATGCAGCAAACCAACCATTAGCATTGCCAACGTCCACAGAGGAGCCCACAAAAACTAAGCCTGGGGGTAGGAATCAGATTTTAAATCCTAACCTCCTGCTCCTTGGGAGTAGCAGGGCCTGGCAGTGCTGCAGAGTCAGTATGTCTAGCCTGAGGGAAAGGAAATGCCTCACACTGCTCCACAATGACCCTTTGTGGCAGGGAGAGGTTTTGATAGTCTGAGAAGGAAATGCCATGTCATCCTCATTCGAAATGATGGGGACCTTTAGGACAGAGCATGTGAAGTAGGTGAAGAATGGCACAGGTCTATGACCGTGACACAGACACAAAAGAATGCCCTGCGGGAAAGCATCCTTCAGCAGGTGTTGAGCAAGCCAATAAATTATCCCAGCTTGTTTTATAACACAAGCTGCAGTGGTAAACATACACTACACTAGTTAAGGGAAGTGTGAGTCTAAAGGTCAATGAATATAGATCTTTCCTAGAGGTATCACACTAACAGAATCATCTGCACCAGATAACCAGTGTTCTTATAGTAATCCAGAACCAAAACATTGAATGGCCTTCGTAACTTCCCTATGTTTGGAAGGATTTACCAGCCAGTGTGCATTACCCAGCAGTAAATGGCATGCAAGAGTGCAGGGTTAAGTCTGTTAAATTATTCTTTCCTGCCTGCAAGTGTTGTTGTTCCTTATTAATATAATATTTCTTTGTTTCCAGATATATAGCTAGTACTTTAAAAAGGGGGACACAAAACAGATCTTAAAATCAAGCAGAAAGGAACAAAGCCACAAAACTTAATCTGAATTAAGGAACTTCCTGCAGTACAAGCAAACGTTTTCCAACTACTTACCACTACAGGGGAGTGTAAAGTTGTGGATTGAAGGGTGGGTCATTCTTCATGTTCTCATCCCAGGTTTTTGTTTTCCTGCACCAATGGATGCCTTCCTCTGTTCAAATATCTCTTGAGCACATATTGTGAAAATATATCTAAATGCAGAACACACAAAAATTAATTACAATCTGTATGTATTTATATGCAATAGATTCCATTGTTTGCAGTGTTGTAACCATGGTGACCCCAGGATATTAGAGAGACAAGGTGGGTGAGGTAATATATTTTACTGGACCAACTTCTGTTGGTGAAAGAGACAAGCTTTCAAGCTACACGGAGCTCTTCTTCAGGTTTGAGACCTACAGTCCCAGACCCTGTTACTGATCTAGGACAGAAGTCAAAAACTTCACTCTGAGACCTGAAGAAGAGCTCTATGTAGCTCAAAAGCTTGTTTCTTTCACCAGCAGAAGTTTGTCCAATGAAAGATATTACCTCACCCACCTTGTCTCTCTTATACAATAGATGTCAGTTATTAAATATCTTGTCTATTATCAATCTATTTTCTATATGTGGCTTAAAGTGGAGTTTGTTAATATGAACTTTTGTTCTGGTGCTAAATATCTAACTAAACATAAGATGAAATATTGGTTTCTTTGGTTGGGACGGAATATTGTCCAGTGATTATAGCAAAGGCCATAGCAATGTTCTCCTTGCCCAGAAGTCAAGCTGGTCAGAAACTTTCTCAGAAAGCAGACCATGGCAGGGTTTCCATGGAACCCTACCTGTGAATCAACAAAAGTTTGTCAAACCCGATTTGCTTTCACAAGCCATTTGGGGTTCGACAAACCAGCATTTTCTGATGAATATTTCTGACCAGCTCAACTAGCACCTTTTCTTTTGACATCTCAGTCTCCAGTGGTGCATCATATCTGAGGTCCCCACCCAGCGTTCTCTCTGGTGAATGAAAACTAATGCAAGTGACTCATTCAGCTTCTCAGCAATGTTCAGATCCTATTTAACTGCACCCTTTATGTTCTGGTAGTCAGGTTCACCCACAACACACCCTGTCACTCATTTTTCTACCCCTTCCTTTTTTGTCCTGTGGAGTTCCAATTCCTTTGCCCACTGTGAGGTTTCCCCTTACATTTCTACTCCATCACCCATGGTGGCGCTTCCTATCTGCCTCCTCCAAATGAACTGAGCTGAAGCTCATTCTACTAGTGACCACTTCCCTGTCTGAAGAAGCTGCCAGGGTTGGATGGGAAGAAAACCAGTGGCCACCCCAGCAGCAGCAGTAGCCTCTAGAAACAGAGGAAAGAACTGAAACCATTTTTTTCAGTCTCAGCTGGTGTTATTGACCTGGGACAGAGGTCAATAACCTCAGACTGTCTTGGACAAAATGGGAGTATTGGCAATCATGCAGTCCTGGGTTGGATCAGTTCTCCAAAGCCCAAAACTTTCTTGTGCAGCAACATGGGAGAGAAAACACCTTCTGAGAGCCAAGTATATATCCACAGTGATAGGAGTGCCCACTGACACAAGCTGTCAATCCCATGGGTTATTATTAGGGATGTCAATTAATCGCAGTTAACTCAGGCGATTAATTTTAAAAAATTAATCATGATTAAAAAAAATTAATCAATAGAATACCAATTGAAATTTATTAAATATATTTGGATGTTTTTCTACATTTTCAATATTGATTTCAATTACAACACAGAATGCAAAGTGCACAGAGCTCACTTTATAGTATTATTTTTATTACAAATATATGCACTGTAAAAATGATAAACAAAAGAAATAGCATTTTTCAGTTCACCTCAAACAAGTACTGAAGTGCAATCTCTTTCTCGTGAAAGTGTAACTTACAAATGTAGATTTTTTTTTGTTACATAACTGCACTCAAAAACAAAACAGTGTAAAACTTTAGAGCCTACAAGTTCACTCAATCCTACTTCTTATTCTGCCAATCACTAAGACAAACAAGTTTGTTTACATTGACGGGAGATACTGCTGCCTGCTTCTTATTTATAATGTCACCTGAAAGTGATAACAGGCGTTCGCATGGCACTTTTGTAGACGGCGTTGCAAGGTATTAACATGCCAGATATACTAAGCTTTTGTATGCCCCTTCCATGCTTCAGCCGCATTCTGCATATATTTCATGTTATAGGAGTCTCAGATGATGACCCAGCACATTTTCATTTTAAGAACACTTTCACAGCAGAGTTGACAAAATGCAAAGAAGGTATCGATGTGAGATTTCCAAAAATATCTACAGCACTAGACCCAAGCTTTAAGAATCTGAAGTGCCATCCAAAATCTGAGAGGGATGAGGTGTGGAGCATGCTCTTTTAGAAGTCTTAAAAGATCAACACTCAAACCACCAAAAAAGAAAATCAACCTTCTGCTCATGGCATCTGACTCAGATGATTAAAATGAACATGCGTCAGTCCACATGGATCATTATCAAGCATGTGTCAGTCTGCTTTGGATCATTATCAAGCAGAACCCATCATCTGCATGGAAGCATGTCCTCTGAAATGGTGGTTGAAGCATGAAGAGACATATGAATCTTTAGCTCATCTGGCACGTAAATATCTTGCAACGCCAGCTACAACAATGCCATGCAAATGCCCATTCTCACTTTCAGGTGATATTGTAAGCAAGACGCAGGCAGCATTATCTCCTGCAAATTATAACCAACCTTTTTTGTCTGAGTGACTGGCTGACCAAGAAGTAGGACTGAGTGGACTTGTAGGCTCTAAAGTTTTACATTGATTTATTTTTGAATGCAGTCTCTTTTTTTGTACATAATTCTACATTTGTAAGTTCAACTTTCATGATAAAGACATTGCACTACAGTACTTGTATGAGGTGAATTGAAAAATACAATTTTTTTGTTTTTTACAGTACAAATATTTGTAATAAAAATAAATATAAAATGAGCACTGTACACTTTGCATTCTGTGTTGTAATTTAAATTAATATATTTGAAAATGTAGAAAACATCCAAAAATATTTAAAATAAATGGTATTCTATTGTTGTTTAACAGCGCAACTAATTGAGATTAATTGTTTTAATTGCTTGACAGCCCTAGTTATTATGCATTCATTTAGAGCACACAAGGTCAAATAAAAGGGTTTCAGAGACAGCTTAATTTCTGATTAATCAGAAAATTTCAGTGCAGAGTCTGATTTTCTTTTGGTTTCTCTTTGCATGCTACAATTAATTGTATCCAGGGCCAGCAAAGGGGGTTAATATTGTATCTAATGCTGTTGCTTTTGTTACACTGCTTTTCCAACAGTGAGAGAGCCTCCCTGAGGATATTTTGGTACCTTCCAGGGAAAGCTGAAGCGCACCCAAGGGAAATGGAAAGGACCAATATTTTTTTCTTTCTTCCATAGGACTTAGCTAAGCCAGAACCAGGTAATAATTACTGGATGCTGAAGGAGTAATTCATCTCTCAGATGCGCAGCTCTCTGATTTCACCGGGAGACCCTGGTACACATATCAAGGCCATAAATATTCAACAGACACATCTTCATTTTGACCCTAACGTGCCAAAGGGAATGATGCTGTGACAAAATTGAGGAAACCTTCCTCTAGTATCATTGGAACCTCATCTTTTGATAGCATTTTCACAATCTATCTGGCTTTCTAAATCTTACCATAATTTGTCCTACAATATAACTCTAATATGAAGTCTTCCAAATGATACCTTCTATTGGTAACAGTCCCACATGGTTAGATTTAGGCAACCCATTAAAGCATATAATCAATATTGCAACTCAACTTTCTTGTGTCAGTGATTAAGAAAAACTGCATAGCTATAAAGTATTAAATCATTAGCCTAGTTCAGTCCTACTGCCTCTGCTCTGATTTTATTGGAAGAGGTACATAATATTAGACAGAAAGATCTACACATATACCCAGGTGAATGCATTCACACACACGGATGATTTCCACCTTGGAGCAATACAAATTAATAACAAAAATAATTAAACCTTTGCAGCCTCCAAGCACTTGGAAGTCTTACAGTCCCAGTGTCAGATGCTGTTGGAAATGCAGCTTCCTCATGAGAGAGATTTGGGTTTGGCTATTCAACTGCACTGATCACAACACTAAGTGATAGATTATACAGTGGTATCGACCTCCAATTCCCTGGGTTAATTCTTGTAATGGTCTCTGCAGATCTTTTCCCATTAGGCTGATATAACTTGTTTAAGGATACAAGAATTGATTTATGACAGCACTGGGGATGGCAATCAGAATCCTGGCATCCAATTAATGCACCCTCTGTAAGAGATAATTAGGACAAAAGTCTCTGGCACAGAAGTACTAAATTTTGGTATTGAAGTCAAAGGGAGCTCTGCACAGGAAGAGCAGAAACCAAGACTGTGCACAGGAGACTTTTACCCTAGCAATAGATGGCGGAAAGGCAAAATCACTGCCTCCTCTTCTTAATTCTCAAGTGCCATCTTCAGAAAGTGGTAGAGACATTTTTAAATAGAGCAGAGAAAGGAAGAGGCCTCATTAAAAGTTCACTGCTAGGAAGAGATGAAAACCTACTGGATCTCATTACGGTCCTTCATCTCACCAGGGTGCAAAGGTGTTCATTAGCAGTGATCTCCATTTGTCTCTATGTAAAAGGAGGCATCCATTACACCATATGTTCAACATCAATTTTATGCTCCCTGCAGTTCTATTGTAATCTATATACTACAATAATGAGCATGGCAGGAATGTTCACTGAAACAGCACATTTTAAGAAAACATTAAGAGACTGTTCACAAATAGTGAATTTTTAATTTGTAAACAAAAGTCAGAAATATAACAGTAAAAAAAATGCTCTTTCAGACAGGGAACAAAAACAATATAAGGCCTGTGTCCAATCAAACCTAGCCAATGCAGCACACAATTCACACTTCAGATATTGAATATTTGCAACAAACTGTTTGTGAACAAGCTACAGACCAAGAATGATTCACAAAATTCTCAAATAACGAATAAATGTGAGGCAATTGCAAAGCAACCTCAGATAATTCCTGAGCAGAGAATGAAGACAAATTCATCTAATGTATTATTAATTATGAATTATTCACTCAACACTATTCAACGATATCAAAGGCTGCTTTGATAGATCTAAGAGAA